AAGATGAGGAATTGCAAAATAGGTGATGTATGTTGTACCCCAAAAGTTGATGTCCTTATATACACAAATTAGATGAAGTAATCAATATAGAGTTTGAAATTGTTGATTTGAGTCTAAAGCAATTAAAGTCATATATACTCCACAACTAAGGTAAGGATTTTACTTTAATTTGGATTACCATTGATATAAGTTGGAGGAAGCTTACCATTATAGGATTTGCCTCTTGAATTTGGGTGAAATCTTCGAAAAGAACAGTTTGAAATACACCAGCATTATTGATCAGGTGATCTACTGTTAAAATAAGATAACTTGATTAGTATGATAATCTAAATAACTTTTACTTTATTTGTGCCATATACATATTGTTATGTCTACCATGATCTTCATTACTACTTAAATTTGAGCTTAGTTCGGGTTTTGTATTCAACAAAGTAAAACTAGCTAGAGTACTTACGTTTTCCGAAATGATGAATCGTCTCATCGATGAACTTCTTGCAGTCCTCAACATTAGAAACATCACCAGGTATGATGATGACATTACCAGATCCTAATTGACGTGATGTTTCTGCTACAATCTCTAGACGATCCCTTCTTCGAGCAACAAGAGCCAAATATGCTCCTTTCTTTGCGTATTCGTATGCCACATGCTTTTTAATTTTTTTCCAACCAAACAAGACAAGAACATTAACAATCTCAAGTTCTCAACCAAATATCATATCAATTTATGTGGATCTATACATTTAGTTATTTTTAGTCGTGTATTATCAAATAGATCAAATAGCACACATATAGTTGCAAGAGATTCCACGACAAAATAGGACCTCGAAAACAAAACCATAAACACTATCACCAATGTCGGATCTATATTATGTATATACACACATATATTTGAATCAGTAATAGTATAATAGACTAAATCTACTCAGTTACTTAGTATTGGTAAAAAAAATATACTAACTAACAAAAGGGCATAGCATCCAAAGCTAACTAACCTCTCCGATGCCAGAGGAAGCTCCGGTGATTAGAACTACTTTTCTGGCTACGTTTTCGAAGTGAAGGTTCTTACGAAGACAAAGCACAAGTTTGATCAAAAGATAAAATGGGTAAAACAGGAAGAGAAAGATGATAGTAAGAGGAGGAAGAAGAAGATTGAGAATGGTGGTAAGTATATCCATAATGTTCTTTTGCAGAACCAATACCACCACTTACCTCTCTACTTGGTTTTTTTTTTTATATGTTAAAATGTTCAAACTTTTACTTTACAAGTGAAGTCTATTTTAATAGACACAGAAGGCTACAAGGAGAGGAAATGGTAGCAAGTGGATCTATCTGTCTACTATTTTCTTATTCTTCTGTTGTATCTTGTTAGGAAAATAGGTTAATTGCTACTAAAAATATATTTGTGTATTTGTTAAAAAATAAATATATATTTGTTGCTAGGAATGTAATTATTACTAAAAATATATATTAATTGCTATAAATAAATATTTGTTGCTAGGAATGTAAATATTACTATAAAAAAATGAAAGTTAAACAGAGCATTATATACAAGAAAGTTACACAAGATTTGGTGTTTTAACTATCAGATCCAAAGGAGCATACGCCTCTGCCAATGAAATCCGAGTCTTCTAGAAGAGATGGTGTTACGGACTTCGCGGTCGATGCTATATATATATGTAAAGAGCTTAATATGGACTGGACACAGAAATTCCATAACAATTATATACATTTGAATCATCTTTATTGAATAATTAAGAAATCCTCTATCTATATGAAATGTTTGGTTCTAAAACAAATTAAAACATATATGAAGAAAGGTAAAAAGAGAAAGTAAAAGACCAAGACTTAGTGCAATAACTAATATAACACTAAGTATAAGTTTCATGGCCATAATGACAACACAACCACAGTTGAAAACCAGAGAGAACTTGGATAGATCGATATGATCAATCACGCTTGAAATAAGGTTTTAGATAACTAACAAATATATAGTCGAGTAAGTAGTCAACGATCTCAGGACAAACATTTTTTATCAAAAAGATCCATTTTATCCAAGATGGCTCTATGACGTATGCCTCTCCTCTACCAATACCTCTGAAGATCGCTTTTGCGCATCGACTCACTGATTCCGAAAGTATGAAATCTGAACCATACTAATTTTCAACAAAGCACAAAAAACATTACACATAACATCGTTAATGTCATATATATAAGGTATAAAATTATGTACAAGAAAGTTATCACTGACCATTTCTTTAAACTGAGGAGTGGTCATATCCGTAGATATAAATCCGGGAAGAGCGATTGTTATTTTGATATCGGGACTGATCTCAACTCTTAATGTTTCAAAGAATTTTACTAAAGCTGCTTTGCTTGCCTACATCATACGGTCATACCAAGTAGTATCAATATCATATAAATTTTATATGTATATGAGAAGTATGTAAAAACATATCATATAAAAAAAAAGCGTGTAAGACCACCATTATTGATGGTATCTTAGCCAAATCTTAAACTAAGATTTGTGAAGAAAGGGCTTTTATATAAAAGCTTAAATATAAGCCTAAAAGCTCTTATATAAGAGCCCTTTCTTCACAAATCTTAGTTTAAGAATTTGGCTAAGATACCACCAATAATGATGCTTACGGATTTTGTTTATCTTACTGAATAGACGCTTGCCGCTGGCAAAGATATAATTGCCGTAGCAGAAGAAATCACAACAATTTTTCCTTTGCTTTTTCGAAGATGAGGAATAGCAAAATAAGTGATGTACGTTGAGCCCCAAAAGTTGATATCCTTAAAATACAAATTAGATGTACGTAGTAGTCAAATATATGGTTTGAATTTTGATCGATGTATCAGATTAACATTAACTACATCATTAATACTTGCGTTTGAAGCAATCAAAATTTAGCCTACATGTCTAAATTTTAAGGTTTCGAATGATTACAGCGGTCCAAGCGAACAAAACCGTCTACAGTGCAGACCCAAAAAAATAAAAGAAAACCGTTGCGGGCTAATTGTGGACCGTCTTTAAACTAAGTCCGCAGCGGTTTGTTGTCCGCCCCAAAAACAGTATAGACTAGACCGCTGAGGGATTAGTCCACACTAACCACAACATCCATTCAAAACCTAAGTTTACAAGTTCATTAATACTTGCGTTTGAAGCAATCAAATCATGTTTAAGAAGAGCTAAGCATTTTTGTAAATATATGGATTATTAATGAACTTGTAAAAGAATATCATTAAAAACTCACCATTATAGAATTAGCGTCTTGAATTTGTGTGAAATCTTCGAATATAACAGTTTGAGGTACTCCAGCATTGTTGATCAGGTGGTCCACTGTTTAGATATGAAAATAACCATCTAATAAAATTTGACAAAAATAATTTGAACTTCATAATCATAACATTAATACAGTAGATAATAAATCATTTATTCGAGTACTTACGTTTTCCGAAATGATGAATCGTTTCGTCGATGAACTTCTTACAGTCCTCAACATTAGAAACATCACCAGGTATGATGATGACATCGCCAGATCCTAATTGACGTGATGTTTCTGCTACTATCTCTAGACGATCCTTTCTTCGAGCAACAAGAGCTAACTTTGTCCCTTTCTTTGCGTACTCGTATGCCACATGCTTTTTTATTTTTTTTCCAACCAACAAGACAAGACCATTAACAATCTCATTCTCAACCAAATATCATATCAATATATGTTGATCACATTTTGTTATTTTTAGGACCGATCAATTTGGTCGTACATATGTATGATGATAGAACGTCAAAAAGAATATTTGAATTGTATTCAAGTTTTCGTTTTCCAAACGTGATTATGTACCAATTACACGTGATTATAATTTTCTTAAAAAACTTCATGCATCATTGTTTTATTTGATGCTAAAAATTATAGATAAGACCAACCAAAAAAAAAAAAAAAAAAACATGATAGAGGAACAAATAAACATAACATCCAATACTAGCTAACCTCTCCGATGCCGGAGGAAGCTCCGGTGATAAGGACTACTTTCCCGGCAACGTCTTCAAAGCGAAGGTGTTTAATGAGACAACTCGCAAGTTTGATCAAAAGATAAAATGGGTAAAAGAGGACAAGAAAACTGATAGTAAGAAGAGGAAGAAGAAAATTGAGAATAGTGTGAAGCATATCCATGTTTGCAGAACCAACACAACCTCTCTACTTTATTTTTCTCGTTTAAATGTTCAAACTTTTATTTTACAAGCGAAGCCTATTGAAGTGACATTAAAAGCTAGAAAAGGAGGTATTTCAATTATCCACGGGCAAATAATGTAAAGACGGTAGATTCGTTAGCCATAATTAAGAAGTTGTAACCTACAGAAATAGCTTACCTCTCTATCAAGTGATGTGAAATTTACCTAAATGCATGATTTTAGTTTCATTTCACATTCAGAGCATCGCATACATTCACTCAACATACAGAGAAATTTTTTATCTTGTTCCATAATATTCGTTACAACTAAAATCAAAACAGACTATACAAAAGGGTGTGCTTAGTCGTTAAATACATTAACATTCATTGATATACATAACATAATATAGCTAATACTGAAAACAATAAAGTAAGAACGAAAGTTTTGATCACATAAACTTCTTTCAATCTTTGTGATAGCTCCGAGCCATTTCGAGATTTTGAGGACATTTTACGTAATGTTGCTGCCCTGATGAAATAGTATAATATTTCAAAACCAAAATTGGAACAACAATTGCATCAGAGCAGCGAACCAAAAAGTGTCATCATAGTTCTCTGCCTTGCAATTCGTATAACTTCACCTTCTTCTACAATATTCCGTGGTCCCGATGAAATTTAGCATCACACCTCATTTTGTTTATGAAAAGATAGCCAGCTAGAATTTCCAGAACAACCATGAATCGAAAAGTTCAGAAATAAAACAATGTTAAGAAAAATTGAAAACACAAAAGCATCGTAACGAGAGAAAGTAAAGAGAAATTGTTGTGATGTGTGTCAGATTACAAAAGACTCAGCAACGGGCTTTAAACCCTAAGCCAGGGATAACTGTATTTTGATTTTTGTTTCTCATCATCCACAACAGCACAAAACATTAACAATACTTTTCAAAACACAAACATAGGTTTCAAATATAAAAGCCTCAGACCGTCCTAGTCAAGTTAGATGCTTTTCAACATTGAATGTTCAGCAACCATTGAATCTAATCATCACTGGCTTCCCAAACAAAAAACAAAAACACAATGCAAAAGGAAATCATCAGATCTTCCTATACAAGTGAATCATAAAACCCAGAAAAATCTGAGCATTCAACAACTTGGCAAAGTATTCCTCATTTGAAATCCCATTGCAAAATAACAAAACATCAATAAAAACATATTGTTCCCCGACGTCCTAAGAAACATCATTAAAAATTGAAGAACAGGATAGCGAGGGAAACTAAATTCAATGTAGGCAATTACACTTGACAACAAGCTTCACATATAAAATATATTCAAAGCCTGAATCTTTCTATCATGTAAAAGCCACCAAGACAAAAAAAAAACTAAAACACAATGGATAGAAGAACTCAGTCCCTTAGATGTTCATAATAATGCGATCATTACCGCAGTCATTACAGGTCTGTAAACTGACTCATCACTGTTCTTCCACAACAAAACAAGAATTAAGACAAAACAAAACCCTCGTAAGAGAAGATTATGTAGCTGCTCAAGTTATGCTCACTAATCGGTATCATACTAGAATTAACCGTAAGATTACTTTGATGATTAGAGAGCAATTTAGAGAACGAGAGCAACACGATTACTATTGCTTCAAGGGAACGAATCATATGGGAACGGACAAATCCACATCGACTATCTGATGAAGCCATTCTAATAACCCTAACACTAAGAACAAGCTAATACTAAAGCAATTGAAGAACGCATCAACAGAGATATATGGATTCGAGGACTAAACTATGAACCCTAGAGAATGAATCGGCTGAAGATATTGTGTGTGAGAGGAATGGTTTGTGTGTGGAAGTGTTTATATAGGGAGGTTTATTGACGGTAGAGAGATTAGGGTTTTTAAGTGTAGGAGAGTTTAAATGACGAAAGTAACCTTGGGCTGAGATATTGTGAGGTCGATCATTATGGTGGCCCAATAATGAAGGAGTTTGTTTTTATTTGAAGCCCAGTATCGAATTGGATTAGTGTGTTTTTTTAGGTAGATTTAGATAGCCAAACCTTTTTTTAGGTCAGACCAAAAACATCAACAAAAGATAGCCAAATTTTAGGAATTGATATGATTTTATACGTTTAATTTGCTAAATAATTTTTGAGGTGAGTTTAAGATTTTAACCCAAAAGAATTAACGATTTTATACGTTTAATTTGAAAATAAATAACATGTTCATTTATCCGATGACGCCTTAGTGCATTACTAATGTTACATGATATATATTACGTTACTTTTTATTCGATAACATGCTCTATAGACTATAGTTTTTACATGATGACACACTATTTTACATGATAACACATTACTAAATAAAATAACAAGAACTGTGTATGAGAACCAAAGCCATTTTCATATCAACCGTGCAAGAATTTTTAACGTTTATATACCACTACTGTTTAAGTGGCAAATCAGTTCCAGTTTATTTGTTATCTAGCTGCAAAAATGTTTTAACCATAACACTTTGCTATTTAATTATTTTGTTTCACCGTGAAAATGTTTAAAAGTTTACCATGAGAAAATGTCAATGTCATTATCTGGCTGTCAATTACCGAAGATTGGAATTATATAATTAAAAAAATATTACATTGTAATGAAAATTCAAAATATAGAGTTTCCGTGTAAGTTAAGGGAAGTTAATGTTAAATGAGCAAAGTAGATTTCGACTCATTGTCTAGTCACGATATACATGGAAACGTGATGTTTCGCAGAACGTACCATCTCGTTGCAAGACTTTTGATGCAGAGTCCAAATCGAGTGTGGTAATTATTCAGTGGAAGTATATACCGGCTAGAAAAAAAGAATATTCTGATGAGGTAAATAAAAATAAAAATGTATATATGATCCATTGTAAGAAACCAAAAGATCAGTACAAGTGCAACACTGAAATATAAATATGATTCAACTACCAAACATTACTGAATGTGGAATTATGTCAAGCGCAGCCACATTTTACAACTTTTGTTTCTTCTCTGAATTGTGTGAATGACAATAATAAAAGTTTTCGTACTTTTCCGAGAAAAATATAAAGTTCAAAACTTAGATGGATAATATTTATGTTTGATAAAAAAAAAGAAATGGACATGAGTGCATGACAATTAACTTTTAAGAAATAAAATTATAGTCAGACAAATGACGAGATTTTTCTAATTTAATTTAGAACAGTGATAACGAAATGTACTACGCAACCTTGCGACCGAGTTTCATCACCATTTGTTCTTTTCCAAACTACTATTTTAATCCTCTGTGGATATTAACTCTTTGATTCATTTAAAAGTCGAATTGCCGTATCTATTATGATTTTGTTATTTTGGTAATATTAGTTGTTTTTATATTGATGAAAAAAAGATCAACAGATTTATATTGCAAGAACATAACTCACAAAAGATACAATTATACGAATTCAATAAGAGAAAAATAATTTAACCAAACTAATTATGTAATGTAACAATAATATTTAAGAAAAACTAGTAATGTAAGTTGAAGTCGGAGAACCAGCTGGCTAAGGTTCGGATCCTTATGCCCGAAGATGACATGGCACGGCCGTGCACGAGTGGTAGCGTCTATTTCTTTCTAGCCGTAGCTCGTAGATGATGATTTGCCAGATAGACTAGGATCGTGACCTCATGAAAGACGACGAGTCGCTACCTTTTTTAATTATGCCCAAACTTATTATAAACGTGATATTTTCTTCTTCTGTTATTTTTTTAACTAATGGGATATTCTCTTACGCAATCCCACTTACTAATTAATTAATTGACCAACTATATAAGTATGTTATGACCAGCCGGAAGTAATTAAATTACGAATGATGTCGCTTTGTGAGGACTATGAGGCGTTTGAAAGTCCTTTACTTTTACAAAATGACGTTTGGTTAACATTGTAGGGTACTTGTAACTAATTGTGTGTTTTGTATATTAAACACAATTTTTGCGTTGGCATACATTTGAATATTAGGCTGTTTTTATCTGCTTCCTTCACCTAACAAACTGTTATACGTCATCTGTTTTTCTATTTTCCTTTCACAAAGTATAAGAATCTTCTTCGTTATCTGTTTATTTGATAACGAAACTGGCTTATACATACATGACACGGCATGGATCTTACAATTATTAGCGTCTCAAGTAATGATAAAATAATAATAATAGGCTAACAGCTACACTCACGACTCACGTCGCCTAAATCACCACATTATCATTTTTGGTACTAGTATCCAAACTGTTCGGATATGTATTTACAATCTTTGTAAGAGAATTTCAATCATTTATACCCGAAGGTGTACCATATAGATAGATAGGGACATCAGCAATTTTTACATATAAAAAAGAAAAAAATATCAAACGATTTACAATGTATCATGTCGCGATTGGGTCTTGCTGCCTCAAGAATAGGGCTGATATTTCGTTTTGGCCAATCAAAGAAAAAACACGTCATATTCTTATTTTGATGATTTATATATTAGCATTATCCAAAGTCCAAAGATTATAAACTGAGATTCATCTTCTCGCCCTTGCACATTGTAGCAACGTGTGAGGCATGTGCGATGCCGATACCTAGAATACACATGTGATCCGGTATATTAAAATATACATGGTTAAATTTTTTATAAACTATGATTTATGGATACACTCGAATACTTCTCCGATATTCATTTCGCGGAAAGTTGCATATTAACCACTATCTCCTATATAATTGTTATATCTCCTTCTCAAGTTTCGGTTTCGAATCGCGACCAACTACATATAACACATGGCAAATCTCTATATATATATTTTTTAAATACACATATATCCAAAATAGGCTTAACTATAAGATAATACACAAAGACTTTTGTTTACTGTATATTAGTAAGGAGTAAATGTATTTTTTAATATTATGATAAACTTTGTGAAATCACCATTTGCAAACCATATAGCCATATAGGGTCGTGTTTTAATTCACAGTTTGTATTGTTATAATTCGAATCCAAGAGTATGTGTGCACTATTAGACTATAAAAATAATAATTTGTGAAACGATATTGAATATTTACTAATTATAGTAAAAGAAAATTCTTTACTAATTATAGTAAGATATTTTTCTTCTATATGTGTTTTTAACGTTTTTTTTTTTTTACATTTAAGTCTTAACTTTACTTCTCATTTTTAATCAAAAGGAAAAAAATACCAATCAATTTTTCCTAACACAGTTTACTTATCATTTTCATTTGAAATGTATTCACTTTCTGATAAAATGCTAATCCTACAATCAAATGCAAGTGGTTCCACCATTGTCGTGATAACACGTGTACGGCTCTAAAGCAATCAGAACAATCATTGGACAGTTTTTACACCGTCAGATAAGTACCTATCCACTTGCTGACTCAGCCGGATAAACCCTAAACCGGAAGTTTGCCCCACCGTCAAAATTGGAAGAAACCGGACAAAAGAGAATGTAAAGACTAAGAAGTAAGAACCCATCGGACGTCGTAAGAAGGTTAATTAACACGTGGAAACAGCTGGTCAGAGTTATCCGGTAACTTATCCGGTTACAAGTAAAAAAATAATTTGTTCCCATACACGACTCCTTCAGAACCAAACGCGACATCACGGCGCCGTTTAGTGTCTATAAATAGAGCAATCGGTCGTAGAAAACCAAGACATCAAAAACACGAATATCGATAGTACACTTCTACGTGCAATTTTCTCCTTTCTCTTCCTGGACATCTGTCTGTTTATTACATTTTCTTGTAATCTCTTTTTGGGGTTTTACAATATCTATCCCCTAAAGTTTCGGAAAATTCTGTTTTTCTGTTCTCATTCTTCGTGATCTTTTTCACTTTCTTCAAAAAAAAAACATGTGTGGAATACTTGCCGTGTTAGGATGTTCC